GTTACTGAGTCTTCTGAGTGCCCAGGTACTGTAGTAGTTTCTTGGGGTAAAAAGATGAATGAGAGATACTTTATGTACTTGAGAAGCTTACAACCCGGGGGGGGGAATAAAGAGTAAGCACTAACTATAACATAATGAGAGAATTTGCAGTGGAGCTGGGTAGTACCAAGTTATGCTGGAGCCCTGAGGGTAGAGCGGTTCCCGCAGGCTAGTAAGTGTGTGTGTAGGCGGGGAGGGGGTACATGAGGGTGGGGAGTGTGGTGGTACGTTTTTTACTCTAGCTCTTCATTTTTTATACACTTTAATCTGGAGGTTACTAATCTTAGTTTCTTGTGATTGAACAGGAATTTTTATATTATTTATAGAGAAGACTGGAGAGAGAACTAATGTTTATTGTCTCTGTGTGTTGTGCCATTGCATTTAACCCTGACTATTGCATGTAACCCTGTAAGAGAGGTAACTTACCATTTCTCAGGCTGGGAAACAAACTCAGAGAGGGTAGGGGTCTTGCTGCAAATCAAACCCGGGCACAGGGAGGCTTTGAATCCACAGCCAAGTCCCAAGTCCATGCTCTTTCTTTCTTTTTTTTTTTAACCCTCGCCTGAGGATATTTTTTCCATTGCTTTTGAGGGAAAGTGAAAGGGAGAGAGAGAGAGGAACATCGATGTGTGAGAGACATGTTGACTGGTTGCCTCCCGCATGTGCCCCGGCCGGGGTCGCAGGTCGAGCCTGCAACCGAGGTACATGCCATTGGCCGGAATTGAACCTGGGACCCTTCAGTCTGTGGGCCAGTGCTCTAACCACTGGGCCAAACCGGCCAGGGCCATGCTCTTTCAAAAACATTACCTCATATTGAATGGCCTTGCTAGTTAGAGAGTGTCTGTGTGAACTCTGAGCAAGGAGAGGGAGATGCTCCTGTGAACCTAATGAGGGCAGAGCCATGCCTTTCGTTCACGTTTCGTATCTGATGTCTCGCACAGCCCGACACATAGTGGCTGTTACATGAGTATTTGTTGAGTGAATGAACCAAAACAGCCATGAGGTTGGACAGGATTGATGTTATACACAGTGGGCTTCCGAGGTTATTTTCTTAGAAACAGACGTTAGCTTAGTGCCCTATCTCGGCCAGCTCCTGAGCTCTCTTCTTTCACAGTGTCGCGCAGGCACTGCAGTGCATGGGCCGTGGCAGCCACGGTCTCCCGTGGCCGGAAGGTGCAGTGGCGACTTGGGTCTCCTGGGTTCATCTTTCCTCAAATTATTTCTCAATATGCCAGCGCAGCAGCATTTATACAACCAAGTCAGCCTCACAGGAGAAATAATGAGTTTTCTCATCTGGTCCGAGCTGTGTTTCTATGCATTACTCATCCTCTTGTTATTAATATCTTCTTCTGCATAAAATGGGATATCCAGAAGTACTAGTATTTGTGATAACATTCACAAATCAAAAAGTTTTAAGTTTTAAAAAATTATTTAAATTCTTTAATTTTTAGTATAAAACATTTCTTCTTCTGTTTAGCCCTTTATTGCTCTTCTTTTTGTGCCTTGTGAAAACTCACTTTCCTTTCACGCTTCCAGTTCTTTTATTTTATTTTGATTTTTTTTCAGTCAAATGGAACTTCAGGAAAGTAGAATTTTTATCAAGGAAAGTTGAACGTAAGCGTGTAGACATCATATGGGCATGGTATAGATTATAAAGGTCCCACAGCCTAGTAGTCCTACGTTTGTGACCAAGGTGGAAAGAAAATATTATATATAAAAGGTTCAGTATGTTCAGGTTATAATTGTCAGTAAAGGAGGTGAACAGATTTTACTAATAATATATATGAGTACAGTAGAATATTTTTAAAATTATAAAATGACTTCTATAAGCTTGTATGGGATTATATTGTCACATAAATAAAAAATTCACGAATTCTTTGGAATTAAAAGCCTGCCAAAGAAAATAGTGAGCTAAAGAATCAACAAGTTGCCTTTTGCCTCACCTTGGGGAGACTACCCTAGATTATCAGATCCTCGGCCTGCAGATAACTTCTGATTGTTTCAGCTGAAGCCTTTTCTCGTCTTGG